GGCATACATTTGAATAACGTATTGAAACCAAAGGAGGATCTGAGTTAAAAACCTGAAAAGAAGGCTTGAATATAAAGACTGTGCAACTGTTGTATAGAAGGTGATATCACAAATCACTTGATAAGGCATTGCACAACCCGAATGTGATCATGAGAGTTGGGAGTCAGAGAACACTTTCAGTATATGAGCATAGGAGCTATTTCATCATATTAGTGAACATCAAAGAAATAAAAATACCAAACCTTTGACCAAAGACAATAACCTGAGACTTTTTTATTCTTTCCTTACTAACCATACATCAAAGATATCATTGATCATGACACTTGTCAAAGCTATAATTACTGAAGGATTAAAAATGTAATTAATTCTTTGATATCCAATAAACTCTTTTTTATGATTTGTCTCAATTGTGAAACCTAGAAAGGGGTAATATTTTTCAAAATCTTTGATTAAACATTTTAAAAAAAAAATTAAGTGATATTTTTCAAAATTTTGAAAGTAAAAGAAGAAGAAAAAAATTTTCGAACAAGACTCTCTCTGGAGTGGATCTGGTAGTTGACATGTGGATCTCAGAGACAAAGCTCATGCTTAGAATTAGCGTTGAAGCAAGATATGATGAATGTTGGGGCATCTTTAGAGATTCAATATCCTGAAGTGAACAATTGGATCTTCTTAAGGCCTTTCCTCATATGCAGGAACAAGCAGATTATCTGCCTTTTTTGATGTTTCTCTCAAACAAAGCAACGTCTTACTAGATACAATTTTCTTAAAAACAAAATTATCTCGCTTGAGACAATTTTATCTAGAAAACAAATTTTGTCTCGCTTGAGACAATTTCTCTCAAAACAAATTTGTATCTCTTGAGACATTTTTCCTTTGAGATACAAATTTTGAGTTTGTTTCACTTAAACAATGTTGATCTCACTTGAGATTGTTTTTCTCAAAACAAACTATGTCTCACTTGAGACAGTCTTCCTTAAGACAAACTTTGAAATTGTTCTCTTGAAACAATTTTTGTCTCTCTTGAGAGTGTTTCCCTGAAACATAAATCTTTGAGTCTATTTCTCTTTAAACAAGTTTTGTCTCTCTTGAGACAGTTTATCTTGAACAATCCTTAAAGATGACCAATTGTCCTCATCACATAGGAATCGTGTCATCCACCGAGCAGACCTCCTCATCAAGTAGGAGCCCTGTCACCTTAGATAACAAGTCGTCCTCATCACACAGGAACCGTATTATCATCCCTAAAGATGGCTTACCGTCCTCATCACGGAGGAACCGTTTCATCCACCGACCAGATCTCCTCATCATGTACGAGCCATGTCACCCTATATAACCAGCCATCCTCATCGCGTAGGAATCGTTATCACCATTTCTAAAGATGGCCAGTCGTCCTCATCATGTAGGAACGTTTCATCCACCAACCAGATCTCCTCATCACATAGGAGCCATGTCACCTTAGACGACCAAAACTCTTCATCACGTAAGAGCAGTGTCATCCCCAGCAATAAACATAGACAAATTTCAAAGCAAAAAAATAGAGAACCGGACAAAAGTTGGTTGTCTTTTTCATCTTTGCCCTATTCTGTTAACAAGAATGTGCAAAGAGGGGCAATGTGGATACCCATTTTTTTGGGTCTTAAAAAATATATTATTAATATTATTATTAATAATTATTATTTCTAATTACAATTAATTTACATTACAGGTTCTCAACCAAGTCCCAACTGAGGTCATCCACAAGCCCAACACTAGTACAACCCAATTACAAGACCAAGATCTGACTCGGATCGAGACCCGACCCGAGGACCCAGTACCCCCAAACCGGCCAAGATTTAACCTAAAATATATTAGGGTTTCTAAACCCTAATCTAACCACCATTGACGTTAGCTCAAGCGTCTATCACCGGTGCGTGTGACACACGCGTCCAACGTTCCAACTCCCCATTGGCGTGTGGAATCCACTGCTCATTCACAGCCGAGCCACTGTCATCATTATTACCGAACAGTACACCCAAGTTATCTACAGTAAACAAATCACCCAAATCAGCTAAAACCTAACCTAATCTGAAAACCCCATACCATAATCTCAAAAATCAAGGTTTACCTGCAAAATCTGAAATACCTATTCCCCTATTTCTAGATTTCATCATGCCATTAACCAACAAAGATCATAAAGAAAAAGACAGAAAAGAGATAAAAGAGTAGGGCATTCGATGAGGACAATAAAGATGGAGAGAAAATAGGGACTTTCGGGAAATAAAGAGAGAAGAAACCCACAGAGGGAAAAAAAGAGAACCACAAAGCAAAAAGAGAGAAAAAGATACACATACTCGTCGAACGCTGATGAAAACCAAGGGTCAACGGAACTGAAGAAACAAAGGGTTTCTTCATAGATTCACGGCGTTTGAGCCATTTTTACGCCAAACCAAGCTCAGATCCGCATCCAGGGTGAGAAGACGCTTCGAACAACATCTTCCTCTCTTTTTGACGCCAACGAATGATGGTCGTCACCGGTTAGCGATGGCCGACACAACAGATGCTAGTCGATTTCTGGGAATTATAGAGCTCTCTCTCTATCTCTCTCTTTCAAACAAGTGGAAAATAAGGTAAATGAAATGGTCATTTGTCTGTATTATGTATAACTTGCATTCTGGTCACTTAATGGAGTTTTAAACATTTCTATTTCGAGCTCATTATTTATTTTATTTCATTTTTGTCCTTGGGATTTATATTTATGCTTATTTGTATACGATTGGTTATTGTTTTGGGATAATCTTTTTGATCCTTCGCATTTACGAATGTTTAAAATCGGTATTTTGTGCTTTGAAGCATATGTTTTGCTCCATATTCATTTTAGTCACCATCTTTAGTGCTTTAGTGTTTTGGGTTTATTGCTCACTAGGTCCTCTCTATTAGTTATGTTATCTTTAGTCTCTGAAATTATTTATGAAATATTTGTGTTTCATTTTCATTGGGAATGTATGTGTAGTTGCATTTTATTATGTATGTTAATAGGTGTATTTGTTTGAAACATGTGTTATCATTAAAAGATTTTTTTCGTGGGATAAAAGCATTTATTGTATAAGTTTTTTATTTCAATTAATGTATATATATGTATGCATGCATATTATGTATTTTTTACTTTACATATTTATGTATGTATGTTTTGGTTATCATAATATGCTTATTTATTCGATATGTCCTTCGAATATTTCAAGAATTGTATTTGTAGAACGGATGTGGATAATATCACTTGATCGAAGTGTTGCAATCTGATACAACGTTCGAACAAAAGAGAACTTGAAATAAATCTAGTTTATTTTCCTAATTTTTATTTATTTATTTCAAATGATCCAATGCATTTTTATGTAGTAATTTATTTTACGCAAATGCCAATTTTCTTTGTATATTCGATTGGCGTTTTTCTTAAATCAATGAAGGGGGTTTATTCTTTAACATATGAGAAATAGTTAACTTTCCCGATGGAGGATTGCTAATATTGGGATTTCTTCTCGAATTAAGAAATTTTCCATATTAAATAATTCGAATCAAACTAAATTAACTTTAGTAAATTGATCATACTTTAATTATCAATGCGAATTCACAATTTCCACCATTACGACAATGCGTAAACGATCGAGTACCAATTTTGGGCGCTGTGGGAGTGCTAATAATTCCCCACGCATAACCGACTCCCGAACCCCGTTAAAATGAATATTTGATAACGCATACCAATCTCTCTTAAAAACAATTTTTTTCCTTAAAAATTGTTTTAAAAGACGTTTTTTGGTATTTGATGTACCTAGCCCAAAGGTCGATGACAACTCCTTTCAATTTTATACAAATCAATTTTATAAATCCCCAAATTTTCAGATTAAAGTCATAATTGTTTTTAATAATATTTAATTTTTTAAAAAAAAATAATTATGACAGTTGTCGTCGCGGGATCTAACTCATTCTTGTGCTCGTTCAATTACGTATCTTTTACACACATCAAACATGTTTATTCATTTTAGATAAAATTTGTATAATTTTCTTTCACAATTTTACTCTTTTTTTTTTTTTCATTTCAATCCAATTTAAAAGAGTTCCGACCTTTTTATACCACGTAAATATAATGTGCTTCCTACAAAAAGCGCCTCCTCCCAAAACTTCCACTTACGTGGAACATAAGGCCGCTAGATTGAAAAATAATCTCAAATGGGTGCTACATGAAAATATAATTGTGTATGTTTGAGTGAAAAAAACCCAAGCCCTTGGCGCTTGCCCTCACAATTGAAAAGAATATTAACATGAAATCTCTCAAAAATTGTAATTTGATCTCTCAAATTTTAAAATAAAATTTTAAATATTTTTAATCAAACCTCCTAAAATTCTAAAAAGTTCAGTTAAACCCTTTTTGTAAGACATGGGTGTTAGAACCGATTTAATCTAAAATTTCTAACTTCACCAACAGCAATAGCAAATCCGAAGAGGAGCAGCAATGCGTCTCAACACCTTGGGCACATTGTTGGATCAACTTGGTTTCCATTTAAACAATGGCAATGGTGTTGGTTTTTACCTTTGATTATTCAATTCTATTTTGCCGGTAAAACTCCAGCTCCATTGCTGCTAAACAAGAGCCAGAGGAAGTGTAGCCATGGATTTTGCTGGGAAACTTGGCATTTCAAGCAAAGTTAGTTTGCTCTCCCAACCAATAAACTAATATACTTATATACATACGCATCAATACATACTGATAAATAAAAATAATACGGTATTTACTTTATTGAAAAATCAATAACATAAGATCTATGTTAAACTTCACCAGCAGTGTAATAAATGTCATATATACATACATGTAATGTTCACAAACATACTGACATCTGAACATGAGAAGACATATCTCACCTATTCCATATGTATTCATGTTATGATGGATGCATATTATGCCATTCATATATATATCCAAACACAAATCATAAACAGTGTCATTAAGTGTATCAGTATAGTATCTCTTTGATAACAGCGCACTAAAATTCCTTGATATATAAAAAACTAATCACCCGTAGCCAACACGAGATTTGGATAAAAGGCTCTTTAATACAAATGAATGAATACATCATCATCAACATCATCACCAGTTTTAAATTTCCTAGCATCTAGAACTGGTCGATTCGAATCCTAGCCTCTACTTTTAACTTTCTTTCTTGCATAATAATGGCATTGCGAAATTTCTTTCATTTTCTTCCGTTAAAATATACAAAAGCAATTTCAAAACTTTTTGAAGTACCTGATTTGCCATTGATGCATTTGAACGTGAGGACCATAACTATGCAAGCTGTACACAGATGGCACCCGATCCACTGGTGTGTTATTTTTCTGCACCAGATTCATGCAGGAGCACCAACTTAAACGAGCTTTTAAGATGAAGGTGAAGATTGTGAACCTCCAATATCCTCATTGGCAATTTGGAATTGTTTTATGAGTAAGTTCCTTATTTTCAGTCTCAAGCCAGAGGCTTGTTCGGGTCTGAACCATTGTTTGCCAAACTGAAAATTCGAAACAGGATAAACAGGTTAGAGACCGAATGAAAGAACTTTTGCACAAGGTTACAGAGGAACACATCAGGTACCATTGCTAAATCTTTCTTTTTCAGTCTTTCAGGGGCCTCTTCGATGAAGCGCTCCATAAAGTAAAGAACAAAAAGACCACAATCATAATCATTCTTTTGCTGGGGAACCTGACCCAAAAAAAAGTATCAACAGAAAATCTAAAGTTATGGTTTTAGAATGAGAAACCGATAACTATATTTAAACAAAGATAACTGAAGTGATTTAGTCCTCAAAGTTGATCATGCCACATGTATACTCCTAGCAAGATGGTCTTAAACATAATTTCTTGTAGCAGACATCAATTTATTTGAACCAAGCCACCACATTTCTTAGCAACATGTTTTATTCAGCAAAATGATTAATTGAAGTCCAAACAATTTTACAAATGAAAAGAAAGGAGGCTTATTAAGAAGATAATCCAGTTTTTAGTGGACAAATTATGTTCCTAATATCTAATCCTGCAGTGAACAGTAAGATCAGACGGGGTATGTAATATGGTACTGTGCTTTCCCCCCGGAAAACCACAATATTACTTGATCTTGTTGTAGCATGTGAATTCAAACTCTTTTGTAGATATGTTCAATGTTAGAAGGCATGCACGGATAAGAATATCGTAAATTAACTTTTATCATGCAACTTCACACGCAAGAAAAGAAACCCTTCAATTTTATAACCAATGAAAGGAAGTTAATTTTCTGAGGTAATTGAAGATCAATCTATAATTACATCTGCACAATCACTATCCAGTGGTGGATCTATAAATTTAAGAATGGGGGTCCAAAATTTTAATTTTCTTTCTTTAAATATAATGGGTATGCAAAAAAAATTCTTTTTTTCTTAATACATTAAACTAAATTTAACCATTTTCTAAAATAAAGGGGGATGCACTTGGCTCCTATGGGGGCTTAGTGCAACCGCCTGTCACTATCCATCAGAGGCTATACTTTACCAACTTGAGGTTCAAAGTCCATAAACAAATGAGACGATTTATGATACTGCAAATAGAAACTTACAGTTATTGTTTTCTCATCAATCCTACGGGGGAGATTTTCCCATATTCTATCTGCAATTGGAAGATCTGAAGGAGCAACCTCTTGATTCAAATAGTTCCATTCTTCCTTCATGTAGCTAAAAACCAAGATTCAAAACATATATTAGGTTTAAGGAAGCATTGGTTACCAACAGAAATGTAAGTTACGACATAACCGAAAATCGACACAGTAAGGTTTCCATTCAAATGTTGACGTTAACATTAATTAGATAATGCAATAGCTGAAAGGCGTTGAAGATTTCCATATAACCGAATCATTTTACTTGTATCACTTAAGAAGAGATGAATGAACAGATGTGCAGGTTTCAAAATCATGCTATTATAAACAGAAAAGGCACTATCCTAATGAAAGTTCCCTTTGCAGTATCACATGGCTTCTTATTTTTATGAATATACAGACAAAGACAAGTTGTAGCAATACGCCGCCATTTATAATCATGTGGTTTATTTTGCCTCACCTTTTAATGTTCTTATAAACCAATCGGCTAGAATGAAGTCCCAGTGAATCCAAATGAAGGATAATTGGTCCTGATTCATCTTCTTTGTCAGGTATACAAATGATGACCAAGCTCCAGTGGTAACTGGATACACAAAAAGCAATAATTGAATCAAAAGATCAGAATAAATTCAACCTAAATTAGAGAGAAGGTAGTGAAAATAGGGGGAAGGATGCAGAGAGGTACTAAATCAACCTATTCAGAATAAATGGCTCAATCCATTTATCCATATCATTTCACCCTTTTGAAAAAAACCCTCTAGTTTATTTCTTCAAACACTCCTCATTAATAAGCATGCCAAACAGAAGCACAATTAAGCTTCTTAGCTAACAGAACGCAGAATTGTCACTCAAAAACTAGCCGAGACACAAGACAATAGGCTGTGACTGAATGCAACGATTTCTGTTCATAATAGACCCAAGATTTGTTTATCATTACATGGTTAGATAAAACAAGTATCCAGTCCTATACATCTTTTTCAGAGCCAAAGAGACCACGGCATAAAAAGTTCTGTTCATGTAACAATAACACTCTGGTAAAAAAAAAGTTGACTTGTAATTTCTAATCCAAGGAAATTATGAAGGTGAGGAGATGGTAATCATGATTCAAGAAATGAAAATGTTTTTGATATGCAAGAATCATCGGAAGATATATAGTGTTTTCATTGTCCCTCATTTGAGAAAACTGTGTTTCCATGTCTGTGGACCCTCTTCCTTTCCCATCTGATCCTCTCCCTTCCTTCGTTCCTACCATGTTTACAATCGCAAGAAAGAAGGCCAGCATTAAGATGCATAATGCCTGTTTCCAATGGTCCACCATATTGAAACAAAGGTCCAATCTCTCCCTTTCTCCAAGTCTTCTGTTTCCATTCCTGTTCAAATCGGAGTCTTTTTTCCCTACTTTGTTACACCAATTCTTTTTCAAAATGTACATAATGCTTTTTCTAACAGTGAAAACCACCATCTGGACATGTAATTGCAGTTTCCAACCCATTTTCTAACCCATGTCTATGTACATGCAAATGAATTCCTCTTGCAGTGCATGTAAGAGGAACTCAGCAAGAATAAACATTTATAGGTTTAAAGGGAACATCATACACGCTTGAATGTAAATATTTATAGCAGGAAAACTCACTCTTCATTAATTGGAATAAGTATATATGCTTTCTGGAAAATATTGACACCTTTCCACCACCTTCTGAACTTCATGAATAAGGAATCTTTGTCACTCCCCTATTTAGAAGAAAGGAAAACAAGGACCCCGCACACGAGTTGGATAAATAATAATCCTGATAGTCGAATAGCTTGACAAGTCCAGCAAATTATTAATGGACACTAAATTATGATCATTGATCTAGTGAAAAATAAATGCAGTTTCTAAAAAATATAAACTAGCATAAATCAAACATGACTGTTGATCTCAAGTTGCTTTATCCCAAAAAAAAAAAAAGCTAAAATGACTTGAAGAGTAAAGCATAAAATTATAACATTATCTTATTAAAAGAAAAATATCATCACAGAAATACTGAAAAACCTAGTTCTACCAGATCAGATTCAATGAACCTGACTGAAAATGATTCCAGAAATCTCAAATCAGCATGATGTATTCACCTTACACAGAAAAAGGCAATCATCTATAAGAGAACATGAAAGATAAACCTTGTATGATACAGCTTCTTTCAGCTTCGGGTAAAAATACGTGTTAAAAATATGATAGTCACATATTGCTCTACTTGTTGGGGATGCCTGCTGCCGCAAATATCTGGCCAAAAGGAAAAAATGTGATTATAACTAGAGGTCCGGATCTCCATATAGCAGGATCTATTATCTAGCAGCTATTCAAAAAAAAAAATAAATCAAGCAATTCAACTTTTTCCCCAAAAAACAAAATGAAGCAGCGAGTTTCTTACGCTCATTTCACATAGCATTCGAAAGCACAATGGCAATACTCAATACTAGGGGAAACCAGTTTCCAGGTACAAACATTGTTCCAATAACTACAATTTTAAAACTTGTTTTTCTAGCACTAAGGTAAAGGCACACACCTAATCACACACTTATACAACACTGAAACTGCCCAACCCACTTGAAACAGAATCAACTTTTAATTGGATAGTTTAACCCAAATTTATCTTCTATTTGTAAGCAGGTTGTACAAGATTCTTTCAAAATGTCTTTCGAGGAGATTAAGAAACTGCATTACTGATTTAATCAGTCCTACACAGTTTGCCTTCATCTCAGGTCGTCAAATATTGGATTGTTCTCTTATAGCTAATGAGGGGGTAGATTTTTGGAGGAAAAAAGGACTTAAGGGATGTGTGTTTAAGGTGGATTTCAGGCAGGCATATGATACAATGGATTGGCCTATACTATTTAAAGTTATGGAGAAAATAGGCTTTGGCTTCAAATGGAGAAGTTGGATTAGACAGTGTGTTACAACAGCTTCCGTTTCTGTTTTGGTCAGTGGGGTCCCTTCTGAGGAATTTCCAATGGCAAAGGGTTTCCGTCAGGACAGTTCTCTTTCTCCATTGCTTTTCAATTTAGTTGGGGAACTTCTAAATCTACTGCTTCTAAAGGCAGTCACTGAGGGGCTGTTTAGTGGATTGCAGATTGGTAGGAATGAGAATTCTGTTGATTTATCTCATTTGCAGTTTGCAGATGACCTTATAATTTTCTGTGGTGCTTCGAAGAAACAGATTTTAAATGTCAAGGGTTCTAAGAGTGTTTGAAGTCATGTCTGGACTTCAACTGAACCTAAAGAAAAACAGATTATTTGGTGTCAATACGTCTCAAGAGTAGGTTGAGGAGTGGGCGAGGACTATTGGTTGTGTTGTTGGGTGTTTTCCTTCTGATTACCTAGGGCTTCCTCTGGGTGCAAAAAGGAATTCTTCACTTTGGGATCCGGTTGTTCAAAACTTCTACAACAAACTTGCTGGTTGGAAAGCTGCCACTCTTTCATTGGCAGGGAGGTTAGTCTTGGTTAAATTAGTTCTTTGTTCTCTTCCAACCTATTATTTGTCCCTTTTTTAAATTCCCTCCTCGGTCAATTCTAAACTTAATTCTATTATGTCTAAGTTCTTATGGGGAGGTGGAATGGAGAAAAACAAGATTCATTGGGTAAATTGGTCCACTGTGTGTAAACCTAAGAACGAGGGAGGTTTGGGAGTGTTGAATCTTATCAATATGAACAGAGCCCTTCTGGGGAAATGGTCTTAGAGGTTTGCTAATGATAGGGATGTTGTTTGGAGGATGTTGATATGCTCTAAATACAAACTTGACTCCTTTTTATTGTTTAATAGCAAGATTCTAGCTCAAGCTTCTTGGATATGGAGTTCAGTGGTTAATAATTATTTTAAAGAAGACTCATTTGGCTCCAAGTTTCGCAGTATGTGCAGAATTCAAGTTGGTAATGGTGAGTTGATTCGGTTTTGGCAATACCACTGGGCGATGGACTGCTAGCTCAAGGTTTCTTTCCCTAGACTGTTTTCTATTTCTTCTAATAAGAGCGGCAAATTAATTGAGTTTGGTGAGTTTAGTTCAATGGGATGGATTTGGAATATTCAGATGAGGACTTTGGCCGATTGGGAATTTGAACAATGGGAAAATTTAATGCCAATCATTTCTAATTACTGCCTGTCTAAAGAGGCTTATGATGGACTGATCTGGAAATGTAATGGGGCTGGTGTCTACTCTATTAATTCATCTGTGAAGGTGTGTTCATCGGGTTCCCAGGAGGTTCATTTTTGGAAGGACATCTTCTGGAAAGGATTGGTGCCTCCAAGAGTAGAGCATTTTGTGGCAGGTGGTCCTTCAAAAGGTGCCAGTGAAGACAAAATTGGTTAAAAGAGGGGTTATGGGTATTGAAGATGTTTCTTGCCCTCTTTGTAAATTGGTGGATGAATCTTCTTCTCATTTATTTTTCTCTTGTTCTGTTGTGTGGTCAATTTGGAACAAATTCATGCAGTTTTGGAGCCTAAGTTCAATTTTTCATGTCAATGCTCAAAGCTTTCTCCTAGCGTAGGAAGATTTGAATTGTAATTCTGTTATTTGGAATTTTATTCCTGATGTTGTTATTTGGACTATTTGGGAAGTCATGAATGCCATTGTCTTCGAAGGCGGGAAGTTAGACCAGATTGACTTATGTTTCTTAGCAAGATTTAGGCTTGCCTCCTGGTTCTTAGCTAAGTTTAAAGATTCTTCTATTTCTAAGGACTTTCTTATCTGTGATCCCTCCCTAGGGGATTCTTGTTACCCCCACAACAAATCGATTATCACTACAATCCCTTGGTCCCCTCCTCCTAAGGGCTTTGTCAAATTGAATGTGGATGCAGCTACCAATGGTGATTGGAAGAGAAGTGGAATTGCTGGTATTTTAAGGGATGATTCAGGCTTGTTTTTAGGTTCCTTCAAGGAGGCTTCAGGACCGGGTCCACCTACTTTGATGGAGCTAAAGGCTATTCAGAAGGGTATCTTTTTTAGATTCCTTGCGAGGAAGTATTAAGGGTCGGTTGATTATTGAAACTGATTCTAAAATGGCAGTGGAATGAGTTAAGAATGGTGCTTTTTGTTCTGATATGTATGTCTTTATCGTCAGGGATATAACTGTAAGGCTAAAAGAATTGAAGGGTGTAATTAGATGGGTTGCTAGGACAACCAATATAGAGGCAGATGGGCTGGCTAAGGCTGGTATAGGCTAATTACAGTGTGGTTTGTTGGGGTATTCTATTTTGGGTTTTCGGGTTGTTTGTAAGGGTTTTATCTTGTTGTTTTAAATCTTATGCACCCTTTCTATTAATGAAGTATAAGGCACTCTTTTCCTCCTTCCTCTGATTAAGGAAATCATTTTGAGTTCCATTAATTATGAAGGGGGTTTTTAATGAGGCTTTCAATTCTTATAAAAAAAAGGTTATATTCCAACCCGATATATGTCAAACAAATTGGACCAACTACAAATCCAGGGAAAAAAGATCCAAACCAAAGCTGATCAAGAAAGCCAAATGACCCAAAGTGAGCCAACCTTACACACTCAACTGTCACTCTTTAAAGTAGAGAAGCTTGTCATGTGAGAAAATTACACGTATTTGAATCGTTTAAACACTTACCGGATGTAAAAATTCATAATTTGAGATGTCAAAAAGGTTTCTGGAGCAAGGCTGTCAATATCACCAAACGAAATATCAACAGATTCTGGATCATCCCTGTATCGATAAATAACGCAAAAAAAAAAAGATATAACAGAAAAATTAAACTCTGCTAAAATTGTCCGCAGAAATCATCCATTAAAAGTAAAAAGTAAAAAATAAAAAATAAAAAGCATCACAAACCTTGATGGGTAATAGATCCTAGCATCCTTTTTGCTGAAAATTTTTCAAAAAGATAAGATAGGTGCTGGAAGCAACCAAATTGTAAGCTAATGTATAGAGGGAAGAGAAAAAATATTAGAAGTTCCACTAACCAATTCTTAAGTTTAACTTCAGGCTCTGTTGTATTTACTAACTGCTGTTCTTCCTCATCTACAATAACAACAGTCTCGCCCTGTTTCAGTTATATACCATTGAACCAGTCAATAAATGAAGACAAAAACCTAATTATGGTGACAGCAGAAATTTTAATCACAATGCAACCAAAAAAGTATATGGACTACTGAATACTGATAGCAAAACCTATATTTTCATGGCAGTGTGCATTCTTTGGCTTTTTAAGATTTTGAATATAGAAAGACAGTTAAGAGGCCAACAATCATGTGAAGCTGTCCTTTCCCCCAAATACCAAAATCTCCAAAGCAACCAACTTATCAGTTTCACAGAAAATTGTGCATATGAAGAGTTTTTCAGAATTTAAGTGTCTCAGAGAATGTTCAACCTAGTGGATAACTAATAAGTTGTTTGGAAGGGATCAATTAATCTCTAAAAAGATCACAATTATGGTACACATTATAAATCTCCAAACGTAAAGTGGATTTTAGAATATTCTAATTCCACCCGGAAGCCTTTTCTATTTTGATAGTTCTCTATTTCAATAAATCAAGGTACTCTTTTCCTCCTTCCGCTAGTTACTCTTTATCAGAGTTAACTATGAGGGAGGTTTTTAATGAGGCCTTTCATTCCTATCAAAAAAAAAAATTTGATAGACTTTTAATTGCACTAGAATAAGAATAACACAGGAATGTAGACAAATTTCCCTCTCCCCTTAGTCACTGATACAAGACAAGACAATAATACAGATTGAATGATGAAGGATTCATTAAAACAATCTATAATATCCTAAACATGCCCAAACAACACTGATATTATCTGCACTATCACAATACACATGATTAATTACATTTACGTTAAATTCTGAGCCTAAATTACTCCTATGTCAATAGTGACATTCACAAAATGAGCAGGTTGTCTACATTAGATAATCATGATTGTAATAGAAGAAATAAAAGTTTGCACACCTGCCTACACCTTGAATTATTTGGTGGTCGGACTTGAATAGCATCCTTCCTACAGAGAATGAATGGGGGAATTCAAAAAACATGCAAGCCAATTATTGAACTACTCAAGTAAACTGAAAATGATCAGATCAGTTGACAGAAATATATACATTATATAGAATATCTTTAATGGACGACAAACAGTCAAAATTAAAATGCTAGTGTATATAAAAGAAGATAATTTTAAAAAAATAGATTGCAAGATATAGAAGAAGCTGTCCCCCCAGATATTTCAGTTGCATGCAATATGAGAGACGAATTCCTGGTTGAGAATTTCAAGAATAAGCTATTGATATTTTCAGCCTGGAATATAAATGAGTAATATGTAAAATTGCTTACTTTGAAGTGCTTCGCAAGTTGTCATCTGTGTCAAAGAGAGAAGACACTGTAGCTGTTCTACTCTTTTGACCACCAAAAGAAGGCTTTGTATAGTGTTGTGAACTATTATGTCTTGGTGATCTTCTAACTATCATCCTTTCACTCTCTGAAAAATCCCCATTGCATTTGGTTTTTCGTTGTTCACAATGATTCAAAACTGATAAACTTTTCTCAAATGTGTTGAGTGACCTAGAATCTGTCTGTAACATGAAGTACAAGAGAAGTTATGTTCCATGGTCATATCCAATGAAAAAGTCCTATCCTACAATATATCACTTAATTTAGAAACATTTAGAAGGAACTGCATTCCGTGCTAATAAAACAGTTATATTTCAGCAGAGTACAAGCAATTTACATTTTCTTCCAACTTTTGGCAAAAACTAGCACCACATGCAGACTGTGGGAAAGGTTGATTTGATTTACGCAGATTTTCAAAGCCATTAGAAGAACCTGCAGGAAATATTTAATTTACTTAAATAGATTTCAAAAAAACAGAATTCTAAAGTTACAAAGAAATTTCCCTGCTTACGTACATAAGCCAACACTCCACTAATCCTTAAAAAACCATATGTTGGGCTCAAAACAGTCAGAGCTCCTTAGAGTCAAGGTTCTAAGTACCATACTGGCTAGATCATTACCATCGTCATCATGGTAACGATACCCATAAAAGGGGAATATAACAAAACCACCCAGACAAGTTTGATTTCACTCCAATGCAATCATCTACGAAGGAAAATAAAGAGACAAAATTTCATCTGCTACAGCCCAAACTCAGTCTATCTGATCAACGTGATCTTTATTCAAACTACATTTTCTCCCACCACTTGAGCAGGAAAGCTTTGGCCATTGTGGCACATTATCTCAGACTACACCCTTTTGTTTCAAAAGTCATCAGCTCAATTTTAATGCTACAAAGGTTTATCATCATCCAGATTACATTCATCATTACATAAGTAACAAAAATGAACTTATGAACCATTTCAAGTTTAATCCGTAAAATATCAATAGGCCCATGTTAAGGATAAACAACACCACTACAGTAGAACCTCAGGATCAACACAATATTCTGGATACTTGGAAACCAAAGTTCACTAAAGATTTCCACACAACGCTTGAAAAAAAAAATTCCCAAATTACACAAAACCTTACCAACGGTATGTGTGCTTGGAGGTTGCGAGAGCTTCTCACATTCATCAGCAAGCTGTCCAATAAATGAATAATGCAAACAATCAATGTTTAATTAAGTAAAAAAGGGTCAACTCGTTCTGTAATGTGAAAAAACTCCATTTTTATTACCAGGAAAAAGGAAGGAATGTTTTCTTTCATTTTAATAGTTAATACTTAATAGTTGACAGAAAACAATGCAAGCACTCATTAGGAAAGGGGAAAACTTCGCTGTAAAAACACAAACACTTTCTATTCACCTAAATTTTAAAAAATGTAAATCCAAAATCACTAGTTAGTTAAATTAGCACCAAAATAAATAGTTTAATTTCCAAACATTCCCTCATGCAACATCCCTAATTTCGTTCCTTCTCTATTATTTCACTGTAGGACCAAATTAGTCAAAGAAACAAACCAATTTCGTTCGCGAAAGCGTTCTCCGTTTCTTTTCCTCCTGAAGTTGCTGAAGTTGATCCCTAATCTTCTTTCCTTTATCCGGTAATTTAGAGCCAAGGCATTCCAGATTCCGCTCCTGCCTTTGAATCTTCTCTTCTAGTTTATCATCAGTCAAATTTTCCCAAAATTCCTCTTTACCTTGATCATCGCCGTCGCCAATTGCGTCGGATTTCCTCGGCTGAGGTTGTGGCTCCGCCTTGATAACCACTAAGGGAGGCGATGACTCCTCATCGCTGGCGTCGTTTGAGAGTAGCTTGTTCCAATCGAGGTCTAACTTCCTCTTCCTGTTCTCTTTCGCTTCCATGCAAATCAAATTAGCTTGATTTTTACCCCCTTTTCACCCTCCTTTTTCTCCAATGAATACTCCTGATTCCCACTCTTTTCAGCTGGCAAGCTATTTTAGTTTTATTATTATTATTGATTAATTTATATGTATATAGGTGGGTATTTGACCTAAATCTGATAAATTTCTATCCGATCAAATTTTATAAAATCAATTTTTATAATTCAGATTCGTGTATTTTTTAAAAGATGTCTTGAGACAGTTGAATTTAAATTTATAATAAAAAATACATAATTTGATCATAACAAAAAAATAATATAATTAACTTTTATATGCTTAGAGATAAATATTAATCTTTTTTTCCAATTAGGTCATTTTTTAACTTTATAAACTACTCCTTTGCAATAGTTTGGAAAGGATATCTCCAGTGCTTGTTTGCTCGGTTTCAACCCTTTCTCCAGTTGGTCGCAAGGGCTCTTTGTCCGGGCAGAGTTCTACGCACTCGAGCAGGAAGTATCGGCTACATTTGCACACAATCGAGGGTACACATCATAGGAAACTGGAGCCAAATCATCGAAGGCTCGGTTAACTACGCCTGGACTAGCTTTCCTACATGTGCACGTGATTTGAAGGATGATGACATTAGTCTTCTCGATTTGCTCGGGTCCTACCAAGTCTATGGCCAATATGTATCTCTTTATGTCCATAATACATTTCGATCCTATGATAAATGATTTGTCTCATTTACATTTCGTGTCGAACATGGTGTTCATTTTATTTCTATGAAAGTATCATATATGTGTAATGGATACACAATTCATGAAAAACTTTCATTCATCACAGTCCGAAAATAAGAAAAATGAATGGAGATGTTGAGATGTTATGTTATTTTCCTACTCGGAATATCGAACCGTCGGTCGAAGAACAATTTTCTTCATCATCAACCCTCTCCAAGGTAGCTTCTTTGCATTGACAGTAATAGATCACACAAACCATCCATTTCATCACCTTCCCCATGCAAATCAAGCTAACTCCTGCAAACATTCTCCACCTTTTCTCATGGCCTCCCCCGTAGAAACAAACGAACCGTGAACAGATACCCCACACGAAACACACGAGCATCAACCCGAACCCTCGTCTCTCGCTGCCTCGGCAAAGATCAACTGAGCGTCCCCGAGCATTGGCCCCGTGTATCCCCTCCAACACCGAGACCACGATTCCCACATTCCATACAGCCATCCATTCTAAAAATTTCACTAGCAGAGCTACGCTAAGCATTCGAAGAAATGCAGCAGTGAAAGCATTATAGAAAAAGCTCATCACAATGGTATAGTAGCTCGTCACTAACCACGTTGACACGAGCATAAAACCGGTCGAAAGGAAGTGAACGTATGTAGAAGTGACAATGATGCCTCTACACCTTTCTTGGTCGACAAGTAATTGTACCATTTCCGCCATTGTAATCGGTTTTCCCTTCGTATACGTTCTCGATGCTAATTCAACGGTAACCACTGAGACGCAGAGCTCCGGTAGATGAAGTAGAAGCAGCCGGTAAAGAGCCAGTGGAACCAGTTTGTAGAAGAAACCATTCGCCATCGTTTCGACATCAGGTTCTCTCAGTATATCGGAAACGACGACGAGTGCTTGTCGAAGCATCAGTTCGTGGAAAACCAAGGAGCAAAATAGAGGAATGGAGGCCAGGAAACAGAATGCAATCATGTTGGTTGATTTGTAAGGGATTATAAGAGCTTCTTTGAGCAAGTTGAAGAAATTGGGTGATGATTTAGAATATGGGTATGATACTCCATCTTGGTTCCTTTCACGTTTCTATTGAAGGGTTTTGCTCATCGTTTTAAATGAAAAGGTTTCTTGGGTCATATACAATCGAATATTTGTGTAAAAGGTCAAACCAAATGGGCCAAAGCCATTGTTTGTACTTTGACAATTTAAGAAACTATGACCCTGTTGCAGTCGGTATTATGGTTTAAACTCGACCCTGAATGGTTGAGTTTTTTAGAGTAAATTATACTAATCACTCAACTACAACCTCTTTTTGGTTTACGAAAATGCTTATATCTAAGTATCTTTTCATTTTGACCAATATTAATTATAGTTACTTATCATTTTATTTTGATCAATATTTTTAAAAATTTGTCAACCATACAACTATTTAAATGTATTTAATTTGTCACAATTAATAAAATTAATATAATTACACATTTTATTCTCAATACTTATATATTTATTTATATATTTTATAAAATTAATCATAATTTTTATTTAATTTATAAAATTAAGATTTGAACCCTGGCCAGAATCATTGTTGCAAGAATCTTTACCACTCAGCCTGACTTAACAATTTGTTGTGTAATACAAAATAATATATATTATATTATATTTAATACCAGAAAAGAAGGAGAAGAAAATGGTTATGGTAGGAATTTAACCTAGGTCAAATATAAAACTCTACAGCTTAAAACTTAAACAAATTTCATAATTGGTTAATATATATATATATATATATATCAAACACTAGTTTATATAAGATTAAAAGGAAAAATAAATTTAAGTTTTGCACATGATAAAATTAACTTTTAATTATACTTTATTTTTTTAATAAAAAATAAAATTCCTAATTAAATTCAAATTTTAAATTATATCTAAAATCATTAAATTACAAATATGAAAAAAAAATATAACTAGTGGTTTGAGAAATCTATAAATTTATCCAATTAATTAAATTTAGTTTTTTTTAATCTTGTATATATAGTGTTTGAGATATCTATAATTATATCCAATTAATAACCCAATAAAATTTTTTGTTTTAATGGTTTTATGTGGTATAGTTTTGTATTTGACTATCATAGCCATTTTCTTTTCCTTATTTTATGGTATTAATTAAAGTAAAATATATGTATGTTATTGTGTATATTTTAACTCAAAATGATGAGCAAGCAGTTTGGTTAAGGCAGTGCACAACGCTGTTAATGGCCTGGGTTTGAATCTTTTCCAAGCTATGGGATTGCTTTTTCTTTATAATTTGTTTTCCATCCAACCAGAGGATGATACATGTTATTATCTAAATATATTAAATTATAAAAAATGTGTCATTATATGATTAGAGGATTATATATTAAATTAAATAAAAATCATGACTAAATTGATAGAATATATAAGTATTGAAGATCAAATGTGTAATTATACTAATTTTACTAACTGTCACCTCAACAATTTCGTTACACGGTAAGTGGCCTGATTGAATATATTTAAATAGTTGGGTGACTCGATTGACAAAAATTCAAAAATGGTAGTCAAAATAAAAAGGGACTATAGTTGGGTGGCCACTGGTATAATTTATCCTTTTTATAAATAGATTTAAATCAGATTTATTAGGATAAAATTAGATCAAAGGAAAAAATATTAGAATTGACCTGAAAATAATAGTATTATTTACCTTTATATATATTCAAGGTAATTGTTATGGTACTCATCTTTCTATATTTTTTAATCATATCTCTATTTTACTTAATAAAAATGAGATTTATCAATTTATTTTTGCCAGATTAGATCGTTTTGAATACATGTTTCTACTTTAGAAATTGAGTCAGGTTGAATTTTCTTAAAATTGAATTAGAATAGATGATAGACAATGACGGATCTAGAAATATTTTCTAGGATGACACACACATATATATATCATATTAATAACAAAAAAATTTCATATGTGGTTGGTACAAATAAAATTTCAGGGTGGATACTATCAATGAAATGAACAATTTGTAACCTCGAATTCTAGGTCAGTATTTCGGGTCAACACCAGACCCATAAATCGAGCCCATTAGACTTCATAGACCAGTTTGGACCAGTTTATAAGGGTATTGGCTCTAAGTTTGGCCCAAGAGTTCAAGCTAAGTGGTGGTTTTAAGTTGAGTTTTTAAGGTGAGGGACTAAAAGTGTAGTTTACCCATTTTTCAAATTCCAAGCGTAGTTAGAAGTAATCAAGGTAAGAATCTTAACCTTCATCCCTTAAGTTTTATTTCAAACCCCAAATCTTGAGTTTTGAGTAAGATTTCATAAAATTAGTTTTTAGAGAGGTTAAGGAATTCAAAGGATTCAAGTTTATTCTAGTAAATTTGAGTTGTTTGGAGTATCCTTAACCTTGTTTTAAGCCTTAGATAAGTTAGTAAACCCTTTTTCTTATCTTTTATTATCCAAAGATGTGGGATAGAGTTCAAAAGCTAGAGGTAAAGAGATAGTAAATTCTAGTTGATTCAAGGCGAGTTCTAGCTGCCAATAAGACCATGTAACACACTCACAACTTTCTTATATCAGTTGTAGATTATTATAAATGAGTTTAGCTAGAAAGCTAAGGTGCAAGCATGCTGAGTAGATTTCCATAGTAGATTCTATGTAATGGTATTTTAGCATGTTTTAAAAGCCTTATTTATGCCATTAATATCACATAAGGCTTAATTAATGATTGAGAACCTTAATAGAATAGTTTGAGAAGAGGTTTCAGTGTTAAATTCGTGCCCAAATAGGGTATTCTGGTCCGTCAGTATCGGTACTGGAAGAACAGTACTCATATTGTTCTTCGTGAAAGGCTAAAACCCAACATTTTTATAAGAGCAATATCGATACCCCTTCAAGGAGTATCGATACTCAGGGTCCAATATCGATACCCAGGTGGTCAGTACCGATATTAAGGTATTTTTGAAAATATCGAACCTAAATTTGGTATCGATACTTATGATAGTATCGATACCCTAGTACTAGAGTATCAATACTCAATATAGAGTATTGATACTACCTAAACCAAATAGCCTATAGTAGTAGAGGGTATCAATATCAACAGGTGGGTATCGGTACCAAGGGGTTTGTAACATCCTAAAATCATGGCTAGTGACCAAAATGGAAGTTTTGAAACTTTAAGGTCTGATTTAAAAGATTAAAAAAGTTTAGGGACTAAATTGGGAATATTTCATGAATGATTGTTCAGTAAATATTTAATGAAGTAAGAGAATAATGATCATTTTATAAGAAATATTTTTATTTTTCCCTTTATAAGGAGATAACCACATGGAAATGAGAGGGGATAAAGGAAAAAAAGGTCTGGAAAGTTGGGTTCAACTTCTTCTTCTTCCCGTGAGCTCAATTAAAGGTGAGTTTCTTACAAGTTGATTATTCCTTAATTTTATAATGGTTTTGATCCTTGGAGGATTAAGAAAGTTTAGGGAATGTTTAAGGTATCTTAAAACCAAAGATGAATAAGTTATGTAAGATTGAATATAAAGAGTTTTTAAGGGAATTATTAAGAAAGAGTTGATAAATAAGTTTTGAACTGAAAATTGACTTGTCACCAACTAAATTAAGAAATATGAAGTGTTAGAATTGAGATTAGAACATGTTGAAAAATTGGTAGAATTCTTGATTTCAATATATGTGATGAGATTTTGAAGATAAGGATGTGTTAGATGAATAGAAATTGGTTTGAGTATGTGTACTTGAGTTAAGAGTATGAAATAGAATATAACATGAAGGAATTAAGATGATATAGGTTAATTTTCGGGTTTAAAAAGTGAATTCTAGGCTTTGTGTATCGGTATTGCTTCATCAAGTACCAATACTTCAAGGGTAAAAGAGTGATAATTGATATAGGGGTATCGATACTGGTTGAATAGTATCGATACTATAAGCTTGAATTTGACAAAGGTATTCATGAGGTATCGATACCTGGTGGGTAGTATCGATACCAAGAGTACTGATACCATAAGGTCAATATCGATACCAATTTTTGAGACAAGAATTTTGAATGCAAAATGGGTATCGATACCAGGCTTGGTATCAATACCACAGCTAGGGAAGTATCGATACCCTACAGGGGGTACCGATACTACTCCAAGTAGAAAATGGAATTAATTCTTTCTTTTGGTTTAAGAAATTAAGGATCGAATTATGATATTTGGAATGATGATATGTGTGTAATATATATGATTGTGTAGATATCGATCAAGAGCAAAGTCCGAATAAGTCGACAAGTAATAGTCATCGAGAAAAATATAAGAGATCAGTATTGACTAGTGAGGCCAGATGAGTGGATATTAGTTAGTATATGATGATGAATGGAAATAAGACTTGCGATAAGTCTATTTTCTATATTAGAATGCATGAATTTATGATTATAAAGAATATTTTTTATATGAGTATATGTGATATATGCTATTGTATATGTTATATATGATTATTGTGAATACATGTTATGTGAATATGAGTTAAACCATGTGATAATGAACTATGTGACTATGTATGAAATGGTATAAGCTATGTGATCTTAAGGTATATGAATATATTTATAAGAGATAAGCCATGTGACAATGAGCTATATGAAAATAAGTTATGTGATTACATGATCACAAGAGATAAACCATATGATGTGAATGATATGATAAGAAGCTATGTGATAAGAAGCTATGAGCCTATGTGATATGAATATGTGAACATGTGAAATGATATACAAGATAATGCCCATGTTATGTGTCATGAGAGCTAGAGGTATAGTTGGCATGCCAAGAGTCGAGGGTTCTACATGGTCCTTCGGGACATATATGCAATCCTTTAGAACATATATGCGGTACTTCGGTACACTTATTTGGTCCATTGGAATATGTATATAGTTATAAAGGAGTGGTCCTTCGGGACATATGTGTTATATGTGGTCCTTCGGGACATCTATGTGGTCCTTCGAGACAAATCCTATGTGCCTATAGTGGGAATTATACGAGATGTGGTGACAACATATGTGGAC